CAAGGAATTAGACTTTCCCACAGCCACCATACTCTGACCCCGTGCAGTTACGGGGAAACCACGACAGATCAACAACTGGGAGCTGATAGTCTCCTACACCCTCGATGTGTTTGAGCGCACTGGGTGTCTTTAAATCTCCGTTGGCCCTGTGATTCTTGCAGCCTCGCCCGAGCGGTCCCAGCCGACGTCGCCCTGTCGGTGGTTCCCTCAGGTTCAGGGGAATGAGGCCCATAATTATTACTGTTTTCGGCGAGAAGAAATTTAACCACGCGTAGCTCGCCAGGCTCTGACGTGGCACCCTCCGCATTGGTACGGTTTGGAACAGTTCACCCCCACGCCACGTTGAGGCTGCGGATAGGATTTGTGGGGGCAAATATATACTAATACTTTATCCAAATGTGGTATTGTATATCAATTACGCCCAAGACTTCTATGAGTCGATTGCCCAATACTGATTAATCGTTTTTGTTATGCTTTTCTCCTAGGTTATCACCGACGGCTAATTTCGAGGTGGTTCTGAGGTTTTGAGGCGGATTCAACGAGGAAAACAGCAACATGAACAGAGCGGAAATAGGAATGACCAAAAGCGGAGATAGGCGCACAGAGTAGCAAACTGCCAATCATTGGTCAACCGAGACACTAACGTACCAAATAAGTAGTTCAGACGATAAAGCCTGGAGAAGCTCGGAGGGCGCGCTGATTTTGCTCGGGTATGTGACGACAGGACCACGTGGCGTCACGCGAGATTTCCGGCGTCGCGCAAATACCGTATTGTTACAATCGGCGTGCGCTTGCGATAGCTCTGTCACTGGGAAGAGGTATAAGGACATTTGCTGAAACTTTTTCAACGAGCCAGCCCGTCGTGAAACAACAATACGACGATACGTACAGTCTCTGATAGTATATTGTTCAGAAAGTACTGTGACAGTCAAATGATCAGCAGCAGGTGAGCTCCAAGCTTAACTGGCGAGCGAAATTTGTGCAGGTATCTCGCACCCTTAGTGCCATGTACTCACCCTAGTTATGCATGTAAAACAAAATCGGACGATCTGTCAGTCCAGATCCTACCAGAGGAGTAGCTGAAATTGAAGCAAACGCAATCTAGTCAATAACGAGATGGGTTTATCGCGGGCTGTGCTTCATTGCAAGCTCCCCTCCCCCTGCATATTCCTACCGTAAAGAAGTCACCCGAACTTCTGAGGTGAGGTTTTTTTAGATTTCATGTCGTAAGTCATAAGGTACCTGCAATATTGAAAAATGGTCTAACATACTTTGCTATTGCATCGGCGACAACCTCTGTAAGCTCGGCAGCATCGCTGTTCCTCACCTCTTCGTAATATTTCGTTATTTTCCTGGACAGCTCCTTAAACTATAGCCCAATAATAACAAGAAAACGATAGTCGAGGCACAATATGCTCAATGTCAAACCTCAGAATTAGGATTCTGATAACTTTCTGCGACTAAAGGCACAGCGTCGATGACCTCTACCATACCGGCAATAAGATTCAAGTTCACAATATATCGTCGCTGGAGCCTTTCGGCTTCAGTGAAACCTTGATCATGGATAATTCTAGAACGGACTAGTTGAGTTGAGCTTACAGAGTACTGATCACTTAAATCTCTAACCTTATTTGCTTCAGTGTAGTGCTTTTTCCTGAATCTCCAGGACCTAAACGAAACATGAATCAGCCTGTAACTGAGGTGTTCCCATATTATTAACATAGGAGAAATCTGGCGAAAAAGTATCTGGGAGGCAGCCTTCGGCGGGCGGGTGTGTCATGCTACTCCTGCTTGCCCTGTTTCCGAACAGTTGACTTGTGTGCATACTCATTACAAGGCTTGGAAAAGACGTGGCAAGGCATGACAAAGCAAGAGCGAAGGGACAAGCATGATGAGGATTGATTGTGTTGATGCTTGGTACATCTCAACTACTATTATCCCCGAACATCTATTCTTCCGTTTGCTTCTCAAATATGCAACAGAGGAACCCTGAATTTGGGTTACCATTCCGTACTCCATGAACTTCCACATAACGCAGGTAATATAGAGAACGGAGAGAATCAGCTACTCCTGTTTTCAATGTAAGAGACTATCTGGAAATATTGTGGGATCGCGGATTCCCTAAATTTCTGTGGGTTTCGAGCATGTCTGCCACAAATGCTACTTGCGTTTCGCATGCGGACGCCGATCAGTGGTTTCACCCAAGACTGAACTGACTATTGCACCACAGAAACACTGTGATCGAAAATAAGCAAACAACTGGGAAAACGATGAAAAGTTAAAGAAGGAAAGCTCTGAAACATTGAAAAAACTGGCATGAAGAAAAACTTGAAACTGACCTAACAACAATAATTTGAGAGCTTTTTTCTTCCTTTCCTCGTCGATTTCCTTCTCTATCGCACGGCTGACTTGCTCTTGGTGGTTCTGTAAGCTCATCAAATTCTTCAATTTATTTCTCTGGCTTTGAGTTTCTATTTTGCTCGAACCTTTTTTGTCTGCATGGGCTTCTATGACTACTGCTACCTCGCGCATATGTGCTCTTCACACATGATGAGTGACTCACCCATCTAAGAGGCCCTACCGTAGGAACACCTCATCCCCTAGTTTACAGCATGTTTTTGCACCTTTTCTGCTTTTGCAGTTGGTGTTCTCTAGCTGTCTAGACCACCGCTTTTGCAACAGGACTATACACAAAAGTTCAAGTAGTCAAATCACGAGAAGGTCACGTGTTGAATGCTATCAGCTGTTGTGTAGATATGGTCTCACATAGAAGGTCAACTTGACGGCTAGGTGTAGAAACCAGCTAGAAAATGCCTCGCTACTCTCAGGGTTGGGGAGAAAAGAAGCTGTTTCCTAGCTAGA